CGTTCTATCTCTTCTATCTATCTGTTTATTCTATCTATCTATCTATCTATTTATCTTTTTTATCTATCTATCTATCTATCTATCTGTTTTTTTTCTATCTAGTTGTTCTATCTATCTATTTATTCTTTCTATTTATTTATTCTATCTATCTATTCTATCTATCTGTTTATTCTATCTATCTATCTATCTATCTATTTATCTATCTATCTATCTATTTATTTCTTTTTTTTTATCTATCTATCTATCTATCTATCTATCTATCTATTTGGAACGAGAATTGGCAACGAAATAAGGGGAACTAAGGCTCTAACTATCACAAAAATAAGGCTGAACTGCTGTTTTTTCCCCACCTGCCAGGTGAGGGTTGTTAGATTTTATGTCAGTTGCCTGGTCCTCCTCTCCTCTCCTCATCTCCTCTCCTCCTCCTCGTCGTCCTCCTCCTCGTCGTCCTCCTCGTCCTCCTCCACTTCCGCCTTGCCAACTCTTCGCCAAGCTCTTTGCCAACTCTCTTCGCCAAGCTCTTTTCTCTGTCGGACCTCAACCACGACCATCCATGCTCAGTGTTCCCTGCCGGACCTCAACCACGACCATCCACGTCGGTGTGCCCTGCCGGACCTCAACCATGACCATCACCGCCCAGTGTTCCCTGCCAGACCTCAACCACGACCATCCACGCCCAGTGTTCCCTGCCGGACCTCAACCACGACCATCCACGCCCAGTGTCCCTGCCGGACCTCAACCGCGAGTATCCATGCAGTGGGCACTGCCGGACCTCAACGGCAAGAATGTCAGAAAAGATGTCAGATAGAATGTCAGAAGATATGTCAGAAAGAATGTCAGAAGATATGCCAGACAGAATGTCAGAAGATATGCCAGAAAGAATGTCAGAAGATATGCCAGATAGAATGTCAGAAGATATGCCAGATAAAATGACATGAGATATGCCAGATAGAATGCCAGATAGAATGCCAGAAGATATACCAGATAGAATGCCAGAAGATATGCCAGATAGAATGCCAGAAGATATGCCAGATAGAATGCCCGAAGTTTTGCCAGATAGAATGCCAGAAGATAGAATGCCAGAAGATATGCCAGATAGAATGCCCGAAGATTTGCCAGATAGAATGCCAGATAGAATGCCAGAAGATTTGCCAGATAGAATGCCAGAAGATATGCCAGATAGAATGCCAGATAGATATGCCAGAAGATATGCCAGAAGATATGCCAGAAGATATGTCAGAATATATGCCAGAAGATATGCCAGATAGAATGCCAGAAGATTTGCCAGATAGAATGCCAGAAGATAGAATGCCAGAAGATATGCTAGATAGAATGCCAAATAGAATGTCAGAAGATATGTCAGATAGAATGCCAGAAGATTTGCCAGTAAGAAAATGTATAAATGTCATGGTGGGGATCACACGAAGTAAAGTAATTTGTTTCCTGTTTTTTTTAATTTTGGGAATCGTAAGAAAAATCCAGTCCAGATCTTTTCTGCCTTCTGACTATATGAAATCCACAGGGCAAGGTGTTCCATAACCCAGGGCACCAGAGGTGTTCTGCTACGGCCACCTTAGCTGATTTACCCATTGCTGGCTCAGCCTCCAACATTCATCCTGGGATGCTCATCCTGTTTATATCACTTGTTAGTATCCCATACATCTTTGGCATATGTTGTATCCCTCACATAGCTGGGAAACCTCTCTTGATAAAAATCAGCACCCCCTTGATACCCAATGGTATCCAGTCAATCCAGTGAAGCCAAAGAGAGTGGTTGAAGGCCTATGGTCCAATATGGTGTTGGGGGTCCTTTGAGCCTGGATGCTTTGCGGTTTGAGATGATGTTGAGACGGTTGGTGAACGCGACCAGCAGTCAGAAGAACCTGCCTTTCGCACCACGTGCCGTGCCGCGGAATTTCTGAGACCATCCGCGCTTTGCGTTAAGCTCCGCGCTAGGCAAACCAAATCCGGGATTAAAAAAACAAACGATCCCTTCCCCGTAATGAAACATCCAGAAAGCATGGTTTTTCGTTGGGGGTTTACACGTATTGGAACCCAAAGGGCGTGCTTAATATTTCATTCTGTATGTATATATATATAATATATACACCTTAAGCTCGGGGGATGGGATATTCCTTGTTACTGTAAACCTTCACATTGATGTTATTTTATGTTATTTTAAGGTGGAAAATGAGTCCGTCCATATTTGATACGTCACGGGAATTTTGAGCACATCTTCAAGTCATTGCTCGTGAGATGTTGGCCATCGGCCAGCAACCAACCCACGTTAGATGGACAACTTGCATATGATCAATTGATGGACAATGATGGGATTTACAAGGTTTATACTATATAGTTGTTCTTAATATTTTAAGACTTTTAAAGGTTTATACTAGTTGTTCTTAATATCTTAAGACTTTTAAGAGGGCTGCCCTGGAATTTTTTTTCGGGTTTCATCTCCGGTTAGGTCGTTAGGCGCCATTTTGCTATGGATCCTCTA